TTTCATACACTCTACTTTTTTGAAACCCCAAAAAAAATTCCAACGAGGTGTTGCAAGACCTATGTTGCCATTAAAAAAAACAAAATGGCGGACGTGTCAAAAAACCATACGGGCCAAAAATTTTCTTTTTATGCTAGAATATGCACAAACACATGTTATATATTTAAGTCCTAAAACTTTCAAACCGATATCTCCAACAGTTTTCACACCAGCGCTTTGGTTCAATCTTCATTAGCCACTCTGTATAAAATCAGTGCGGCTATACAATAATGTTATTTTCTATAGGATTCGTTATGTGTTTACCAAATAACACCGGATTGGTAGAAATTAACCTGGAAGCTGGAAGCCAAGATGACCATATTATTGTATACGCATAGCAAAATTTACCAGTTCGGTTAAACGTATCAGCTCAATCGTAAATTTGGAAAAAAACGTGGTGGACCTGAAGCATATTTAAGTCACAGTAGTTCTACCAACTAAATTGCTAGACACCTAACAACCAACACGCATGGAATTCAATTCTTAAATAATATTGACAGTCTTTTTGACAAAATTTACGTTTCATTTCCACATTTCATGGTGCATAAATAGTATTTAGTTAAAAAATTCCTATACTTTTCTGGAATTCATAATAACAGTGCGTGTAACGGGACGCGTCATTTGTAATATTTTTTAATAACATGCATGTATAATGGTCAATTTAATTTTTTCTTGTTACGCTAACCATTTATATGTTAAATAATAAGCATGGTGAATAATTCACCGTGATAATAAGTTAAAGGTACGGCTAACGTTCATTTAAAATCTTAGAGAGAGGAAAATTTCGAAGTTCCTTCCATTAGTAAAGTTGCATTAAGAAAATTCGCCTGAAGTGCGTAACGTTCTTATCATCATATATCCGAAGCGATATAAGAGCGGTATTCGCACATAAGACAGCGTTCTTCTTCTGCTTCAAACCTGCGTAAGATTGCGCAAAAAAAGTTTAGCAGCCCTGCGACAGTTTTCCGAAGGAAAGATTTGATATCTCTAGAATATACGGAAAACCGTCGGCCGTTTGCACACCGTAGGTATCCTCGGCCGCACAGTATACTAAAAGCGATAAGTAGTTGTTTGGTAACGCCAGCCGATTGAAAATTGAATGTGATGGTAATTTCCTTATTTCAAAATCTATTTGTAAAGCTTCCCTGACAATGATAGCTAGAGTGTTAATGTTAATCCACAATGTGAAAAATCTTCGGACAAACAAATGGTATCTACGATCACTTGCGAAAATATTTCAAAATCTATCATTATTTTGTAATAAAATTTAATTTACACTCCTGCAACTATAATATGTAATTTAATTCGCTTCGTCATAATTTACACGGACCAGTAGTTCATTGCAAATTTCCACTAAATGATTTCAAAGTTATTACAATTTAATTTACGAATTGGAAAATAATAGTTTTTTACGTTATAAGTCCGGTAGGTTACTTGTAACAGTACGAGTTAGACATTATGGACGACGCGACGTCAGGAACCGAGTCAAGAATGTCTTCAACGAGCACTTTTCAACTGTGTTATGTTTACCAAAAAATCATCAATTTTAAAAGTGCAGTAGCTATGAATATAATAGTATATTATATTATGAGGAGCTAAAGTGATACTTTTTATGGCGAGTCAGTGTTTGATGGCCGAGCGAAGCGAGGCCAGCAAAATACTGACGAGCCATAAGAAGTTACCTTAGCTCCGCATAATATATGCTATTTTTTCTTCAAACGTGAGAATAACGCCCAAATAATGGTTTTCAAATCGGAAGAAATATTAACCCGATCGTTATGGGTAGCCGTGAGCGCGTCGGCCGTGGTGACTATAACAATTGCTATAGTTGGCCATTATTAGTTTTGACGTTTTAATTGTGGACGAGTTTTTCGATTTCAAATAAAAATGAAATTGCACAAAAAATACTTTCGACAACTTTAGAAAATCCAGGTTTATCAGATGGAATGACTTCAACTACTCCTTCATTTGAAGCAGAAACCAATCCAGTTTTTTGAAAATACTTCATTCATTCATTAGAAATAAGACGAGCCAAACAAAACTTGACTCTTCAAAACTTGGATGCTGCAGGAACGAAGGTTTAATTTCAATAATGGTAATATGACTAACTGAACTTTCAACATTAACTATTATTTAAATAAATAAATAGCTTCTTTTGATCGACTATATTTTTATTTCTGTTAAAATCAGAAGGAAAGATCAACGCACTTGCTAGGTGAACCAAGAACCTAATGTAAATAACATCAACTTGTCAAAGCAAAACAATGTGACACTGGCACTGAAGCGTTTTATTGCCTAGGCACTAAAATACTTCACTGCCGCTTGTTCGATTGTTCTAAAAAGTCAAACTTTAACTCAGAGTGCTGGGCTACGTAATGTCAATATTATATGACGTTTGAAGAAAAAAGTACTTACCGAAAATTTAGAAGCTGTAAACAACTTCAAAATGTGTGGACGCTTTTTACGTACTTTTTTGTCTTCTGCCTTTAAAATAAGCGTAACGAAAAGTTTTACAAACGGTCAAGTTTTCATTCATATTCAACCAAACAAATATTCATTGTCATGTTCAAGTTATTTTGTCGATTAGAGTTCGTGGAGTTTTATTACATTCGGCGTTTTACATGGTAAAAAGAGATCAAATAAAGTTTCAAATCTTACGCTGCGAATTAAGTGTCTTTGAGAAAGGATAAGGAAATTTCTGTTGAGTCAGCGCTTTTTGTAGACCACTTTAGAGTTGGCAAACCAATGAAAATTAACGAAGAATCGCCGTCATTGTTTTCCACATACCACAATGTAATAATAGGCGTTTTAAGTCAGCTTAGTATATAGAGAGGGGATGCGTTTTGCACAAAAGTGTTCATTCTGGTTTTGATAGTCAACCAGAAAAGGGTATGATCTGAGCCGTAGAGCGACTTAGAGTAGGATTCTGGTTTGAGTGGTCACCAGGAAGATTCTGGTCTGAGCAGTGAAGAAAGATTCGCGTTTGAGCACCTTTTATTTTAAAAAAAGTACGTTCATTTTTCTGTCGCTAATGTCAAAATTAAACAAGGTGAAAAGGGTTTCTCACACACTAAACCTGTTATAAACAAACATTTAAAATCACGTCCAGGCAGAAGTCGCCCACATTAGGTTCGTTATGCAATTCAAATTGTAAATCGACAGCTTTGCGATCGTTTCGAAAAGGACATTTTTGACCTAATATTAGCAACGAGGGATCGTAAAGTTGTTTGAAATCTTGTGTAAAAAATATGTGTATATTTTTGTATCCTCGTCAAAAGAAATCTCTGGGCTTTGCTCTGAGTTTGTAACCAGTCTTTCCAGACTTTTTACTTTTCGTGGAATCCAAGCTAATTCCAATTAAATCTCAGTTTAAAGGGATCGAGCTCAGTAGGTTTCCACTATTTATTGTGTCAACGTGTTTGAAATACCAGTTATTAACAACCCTACTGCAAATTGACCGATTTAAATTTAAGACAGAGATGGCCACCTCTACCTGGGCATGTAATTACTCATGTCTGTGTCTGTGGAGCAATAAGTATTAGTGCTACCGATCCCATCAGTGGGGCATTATTAAACCCCCAGATGCAAGATTAAAATATTTCATTTTTCATGTTCCGATGTTCATATATAAGTTTAAATTCCTTTATTTGTCATTTTTTAAGTTCTCATAAAATCGGAGTTGCAGATTTTTAAAATTAAGCAAGAACAACCAAACATTCTTCAAATAAAGATGAATTGACGTTCCTCCCTTATATGCGGTTTCTCATTTTATCAAGCTTGTCATTAGACATAAACAAATCGTAAAAGAGAAGCTATAACAAGAAATCGGATGATGTAACTATGTAAAACTTCCGAAATTATAAGTATAAATATAAGATTAGAAAAAGATAAGATGAGGGCGACCTCAATATCTTTTATTTGGCGAGATACGAAGAATTTTTCAAATATGTCATATTTCCTATCTATCCGATCGCATATTGAAACTTTCGGCATCACTTCCGGTTTAACCGCCAAACGACGCAACTTTTGTTTTTCAAATCCATGTTTTTAAGATATTATTATATTTTAAAAGAGCAATCAATTTGCTGTACGACAACATAAAATATGCATATGGTTGATATACAAAACAATGGAAAAATTCGTAATTCAATTTGAAAGTCTTATGAAATCTAGCATGTCGTGTGCATCAACTTGTTCAATGTTTCATTTGGAAGATTTACATTTGTGCGATACGAACTCTCCGTGTAACATAACAGATACCGCGCCTCCTGACAGCACACGGCATGCTGATTTAATAAGTTTTCTAAATGTTGAATCACGAATTCCACCATTTTTGGGATATCCGCAATATGCATATTTTATATTGTCGCACAGCAAATCGATTGCTATTTTCAGATATGTTAAATAAAACGTAGGCATTGTATTTCAAAAACAATAGTTTCATCGATTTCCGGTTAAATCGAAAGTGAAACCAGAAGTTCCAATATGCCATCGCATAGAATTACTTTTTGTTTTTACAAACTTACACATGACTTACCATCTCTTGGTAATAGCGTATTGTAACGCTAACCTCCGTATTCGCATACTACACTTGAATATTTATCAAACAATGATAATCTAAAATATTAAAATAATACGGCTAAAATCGGAATCCATCTTATCGTAATATCGCTGGGATATCCGCGTCTGGAGAAGGAAGACTGTGAAAACATTCGCTCCATTTGCTAAACTAACTAAACTGCTTTGCCTCTTATTTATATTACGGGGATCGTCCCGTCTCTCTATATATACCCTATATCATCCTGCCGTTGCTCATATTTAAATATCTACCAAGAAATAAAATCCGCGCTGTTTAATTTTTTAGTTGTGTAAACGACGCAAGATGAACAATTCGAGCGTCGTCTATGCTCTATGCCGTATTGTTTAAAGTGTCAGGGCGAGTAATTAATTTTAAATCTTACCTCGACACGCTCTTCCTTCAAATCGACTTTAAGCGCGAGTTGCTCCCTCAGAACGACGTCTGGGTAGTGTGTTTGTTCGAAAGTTGCCTCTAGTTGTTCGAGCTGCTCTTCGCTGAAAATTGTACGGTGCCGTCGCTTTCTTTTCGGCGGTTGATGTTGGGGGTGGTGGTGGTGCGTGTTGGGACCGGCACCGCTCATCGAGGCCGCCTGAGATGCGGCCGCAAGTGCGTGTACGTATCCTGGATAGAGTCCTGGGTATGCCATTGCTGTAGAAAAGAGGGTAAATCAAAATCAATCGAAACACCCCTTGGGGGTTTACAAATTATACATAACGAACTAATAATGTTCTACAAACTTTTAAACCCCGCGTATTTTTAAGGTTACCGCAGCGATTTTTTTATACGACTAATACACGTCGCGGTGGAGTAACGCGAGACTAACCTAAAATGTTAGATTTTTTAAATAAGGGGATTTAAATCTCCCGGGAATATGTTTAAAAGCTTATTTCCTTTTTTCCAACGGCGCTAAGTATTTTAACGGTTTGGAATACATTCAAGTGAGGTATACGGTGCCAAATCATAATGTAGACTTTCTATACTTCCTAGACGCAATGAGGCGTTCAATATGTAGATTCCGTATAAAAATATATGGAGATTGTAGGTTAATGTGACGGGATCAGGGCTCAATGTAGCATAAATTTACGGAGCTTAAACTCTACAAGTCTTCTTCTTTTGTTAAGGTGTGAGGAAGCTTTCGGCTTATACGCATTTCTGTATTTTATTAAAACGTCGAGATGCATTTGTGTATTCGCATATCAAAGCGACATAAAAATTTAGTCAGCACGCCCTCAGGGATTTCTACACGTATATTATCCAGTTATTATGTCTAATAGCGACATACCAACATATTCAATATTAACCTTCTCTCGTATACATGCAAGCTTTGGCTTACACAAAGGCGATGAGACCCGCCTTGGTTCCAATATCATTTACTGGTTCAATCTACGAGTATGAAATCTGTCAGCGCTATTTACAAACAATTACCATACATCTTACAGTCATTCATTCTTCCTGTCTCTGTGGGGATGGTTTCAAGAAATTTATTTTAGTACATCTCGCAAAGTGCAAGTTGCCAATCCGGGTGGGCTTTCGGGTTAATAAAAGTGAATATTGGGCATTCTCAATCAGAGGAATCTGTCAGGAGACCAGTGAGTTGAGACTGAAGTTGAAGTATACGATTATTACGTTACAAAAAATTCACAAATTTCGCAATCCATGCAACCATCGGAGACATTGGAAATGATAACCGTATACGCCATATGTAAAACACACGTAACCCTTATTCACGCGGAATCACCGTAAACTTTCTGAATAATAAGCGTCGTAACATGATCACGAGAGATGTGCGAGATTTTAGATTGGAACTAACAAAACAATTGCGCACTATTAAGTAACTATACCGTGTCGACAGTATCCGCGCCTTTTCTTTAAACTGCCAGTAGTCATATAGGGTCGGTTCTGGACCACTTCAAGGTAATTCGCCACCTGACCTTGGAAAGTAGATCAAGGTGAATTTCCAAGATCACCGTAGGTCAAGGTGAAGTCGAAAGGTTACATGACAGTGAACTTGGAAAATAGGTCAAGGTGAAATCCAAAGGTCACATGAAGGTGACCTTGGAAAGTAGCTCAAGGTGAATTTCGAAGATCATCTGGCGGTCACCTTGGAAAGTATAGCATATTAAACTATTATTATTTGCACTACCATTGCAATAACTCGGCGTATCCATATATAAAGGAGAACTTCGTAACTTGGATCGTTCCACAAATGAGTTTATTGCTCTTGCATTATATATTATTTAAATGATGAGTTCACTGACGAAGAATTAAGTTACAACTAAATATTTTTTTCAGTCTGCGCCCTGCTTAAATTAATTACCATTATGAAGAAAATGTCATATTGGTCCTTTTTCCGACTACACCCGAACTAGCCATGTACAATTGTACACGTCACTAGTCTTTAACCATTTTTTTAATTCCTCCATGCGGTTTCCTTCTTTAAAATATTTAACAAACAGGTAGAGGTAATATGCACTTAAATTCGTCTGCATCTACCACTATCCGTTCCCCGTACTTGGTATTAATCACATTAACTTCCAACAATTTGAATGTTTTCGATATTTCGAGTTCACTAGGATTTTTAAACGGTGTGCACAATGTATTACGATTTAAACCGGAGAAATCCATCTTTAATAAACGCAAGGCGCCGACTGACTGAATTATACATGAACGCAGACACACTTTATATCTTAATAATACGTCCTTGAACTTACCTGGTAACATTTGAGCTTTGGCATGTTGGGCCACTGTCAGAGGAGAGCATGGGGACTAGTGCCATTCACCTTGACCTACTTTCCAAGGTTACCTACATGTGACCTTTGAACTTCACCTTGCGCTACCTTTCAAGGTCACCGATTGAAATTCGCCTTTAGTTACTTCCCAAAATGACCGCCAGATGACCTTGGAAATTCACCTTGACCTACTTTCCAAGGTCACCTTCATGTGACCTTTGGACTTTACCTTGCCCTACTTTCCAAGGTCGTTGCCTTGGAAATTCACCTTGATCTACTTTCCAAGGTCAGGTGGAGAATTACCTTGAAGTGGTCTAGAACCAGCTCTATATGATTACTTCTACCGATTGCGGCGGAGTACGGTACAATCAACACTTGACGCGACACCACTGTTTTCTTTTCTGCTTGGCGAAACCGATAACTTCACACCTATACAAAACATAAGCATTTCCAATGCTAAGACTCTTCAGGTATGAAGAGGCCGAATTTTCCATTGACTTAAGGAAAGTAAAATTTTTGTTTTGTTTTATTTGTTGTTAAAAACTTGTAAAGTTTTATTTTTGCTTCAGTTTCATTCAATATTTCTTTCCGGTTAAATTCATTCAGGTACTATTTACGTTATCAGTATATTTTTTCTGTAAAGTTCGTTGTAGTTAGATTGTTTGAATTGAGTTCATGTCATAGTTCATTATTCTGTCAGTAGAGGTCTTCCAAAGTATTTTTCTGTAGTCAATAACATCGATCCATTTCCACTTTCTTGATCTTTATGAGCGTATTACGTATTCTGCAGGGAAGATTCATTCTTGTTCGTTGTGACTTTTTACAGTATTCAACCTTAGGATAAGTGATTTACGATGATGCGACATTCAATTAACATTGAATATTTCTTTTGGGCTTTTTTTTGGTTTTCTGTTTTCTACATTTGTTTTTTACCTGAAAATTACGACTCTATCGATATCCCTAGTAAAATATCTACGCGGAATTTGGATTGCACAATATTAATTGTAAAAATACCATGAACCCGCCATCCTGTAGACCTTGGCAGTATAGTAATTGTTCTATGTCGAAATTATCATACTCCGAAGAGTTACTTATTGATCTTGTATCCAACTGTAACTATTATCGGTTGCTTTTTTGGAGCGGGGATCATTGTTACCTGAGAATTGCAACAATATAGCTTGTTCGACTTTATACACGTTTTAATTTTTTCATTACGAAACATTCATTCTCACTAGCGGAATTACGTTTCAAATCCTTTAATTTTGTTGTGCAAAGATACCTATTTAGTTACCTACGTTTAAATGGTAATTTAGTTTTTCGAAATTACGTTACATTTGTACTCGAGTTACACGATCTGTATCATAAGTTAGTTGGTCCCGCACATTTTTATGCGTTACTATCAATACCCCTATCTTTTGTCTTTGTGTTTGTATCTGATTGCAGATTTTTCGCAACAGCACCCTTCTGAGCTCGGAAAGGTTGCGGCTAAGAGTTCGAAGTAAGATTTTTGTTTCGTCGATAATCCGTGGGCTAACGTTTGCGCACACTAGGTTTCGTTACAACCGAATTGTAATTAATATATTTTTTATTATACCTGAATCACAATCTCCGTTTTAAACACTCAAATGCGTGCGAAAAAGGGCCTTTAAAACACACGTGCTTTAAAGTTGCTAAGTAACGATACTTCAAGTATGACTTTTGAAACTGTCATCTGGATGAAATAAAAAATCCTCTTAGGTCGCTTTCTGTAAATGCAGAACATTTCTTTGGCTTTTGTACCTATCCTTTGGTTGAAGCTTTCACAAACGCGCGTAATTTAGGGTATGCTTCCAAATCTGTTCCACTTTTTAATCGCAGCATTGCTTTAAAGTTTTGAATGAATGCACCAAAATATAGAAGATTTAAATACCTTTGACATTTCCTTCATATATGCCAGCATTATGGATGCATTTAAGACTGTATTCGTAAGTAACTTCCTATTCATCCATGGAAACAACTTTTCATATTCTTTATAATAGGCTTTACTGGATTTGGATTTTACACCTACCAACGTTTGTTTAGATTCCACAACAAGCGATTTAATGGACGGTGTATTATCTTTTTCAACGGAAATCGTTTAATTCACAAAGACGATGATTTTTATAAGCAAACGTCAAGTGACATTTCCATGGCAATCGTGAAATTACGAACACCCAGCCCACTTAATTAGACATGTATTCGAGTATAACGTCAATATGATTTCATTGTATTTCCTATTTTTAAATTATACTGCAGGTATAATAAAAAATACTATAAGATACACGTGTATAATTGGTCTTTAAAGCACTTGCAACGTTAAAGGCACTCCGCTTTGCGTCGTGCCCTTAAACTCGTTGCGCGTGCTTTAAAGACTTGATTATACACTTGTATCTTAATATATTTTTTATTATATCTGCATCATAATCGTCGTTTAAAGCACGCCTAATAGTGTGAAAACAGGCGATTAAACCCAGAGTTTGAAAGGTTGCTTCACTGTCACTTCAAACCTGACTGAAACTATCATACGGGACGGAAATAAAAAATTATTTCAAAAAATAAAAAATACTACAGGTAGTGCGTGTATAATTGGTCTGTAACGCAATTGCAACGTTTAAACTCGTTGCTTTAAAAACTTAATTATATATACACATCTTAATATACATTATTTGTAGTCATTTAATAATCATAGCTTGCCAAGTTCAAGAAAAGAAAATCTCCTTCACACTGGTCCTTGTATAAACAATTTAGTCTAGGCGATAGAGACTGTAAAATTGGCAAACTGAACATTTTGAGGTGGAAAAGAAAAAAATGGTGGAATATGTTCAGTTAGGTGTCAAAAACAACATATTAAAAATCCCACCCTCCAGACCCTGTGCTAAAGGCTCCAGCCACCCCACCATC